ACTGCTTGTGTTTTCCCCCTTCCTCTCCTTTTCCCCTCATCCTGTTTTTCTGTTGTTTTATCTATTCTTAGCCATCACCCCATTACCCTGCCGCGTTTCCTTCGCTTCTCATCTTTCTCAGTGTTTACTCCTCCTTTAAACTTCTCCATATCCCTCTGCCATTTTTTCTTCCCCTCTTCCGCTCTCTTTAACCTTCCATTCCTCGCTTCCTCTTCACCACAGAAAACATCCCTCCTCCTGTTATTGTTATTATCTAGAAGGGGTGACTGGATCCGAGTTATGCATGCATGCTGCGTGCCCCACCCTTGGCCTCCTCCTAACACACACACCCACACCCACTCAACTCACCGCAGCTACTAACCCCAAAACACCCACACGCTTTGTTGTTTCTTCTGCTGCCACTGGCCTGAGACGAAAGACAGGGAGCGGATGGTGCAGTCATACCCCGCTTGGTATGACTGCAACGAACGCTGGCCATTGATCGGTACCTCTACCCTGCCCCTTTGACCCATCAGAACTCAAACAACTAGATCACACGATTATCTTTTAAACACAGGATAGTGCCACATCAAAACCATGAAAAGGCTCCCAAGTCGTGTTTATGTTCCGATCATAATCCACAAATACACAACTGGATGAAACAGTTTTAAATCAGTAACATAGCTCTCCACAGCTTCATAGCTTTCCACAAAACCTGTTTTCGCACATGCAGCTCTGAATGGAGATGCAAATGTCTGATGCAGTCAGATCAGACAACACTTAACCTTCCAGCTCCCTGATTAAAACTATCTGTGTTGTCTTACAGCATCAGTTTGTGCCCATATGAAAATAACAGTGGAGGAATTTTGGCCCACTAGTCTTTCAGGAGTTGTTTTAATTCAGCCACACTGAAACGGCCTGTTTCAGGTCATGCCAAAGCATCCCAACTGGATTTAAGTCCACGATGTGATGCTGCATACCCCAACATAACAAATATTTTCATTTCCTTTATGTCCTTTTTGGTCAGCAGTGGTTTTCCCATGGATGCCAATGTTTCCTGGTCTTTTTCTAATCGTTGAATCATGAACTCTGACCCTAACTGAGGAAAGTGAGGCCTGCAGTTCTTTAGCAGTTGTTCTGTTGTGACGTCCGAGAGTCATCAATACACTCTTGAAGTAACTTTCGTATGCTAGACCTTCCTGAGAAGGTTGGACTATAATGGCTCTCACTGAGTCCCAAAACCTTAAGAATGGTTTTGCAAACCTGTCCAGACTGATAAATGGCAGCAACTTTGTTTCTCAGCCATTTGTTTAGATCATGGCATGTGTTACTTTATAAGATCTTTTCCTATTTCACTTTGTCAAACAGTTTCAGCTTTATTTAAGTCATTTCTTGATTCATCGGGTCTGTCAGTAATCAGGCCTGAGCGTGAAATTAAACTCATTAACATGTGATTAATCACAGTTAATTCATGATTTAACAAGGAGGGAAATTTCAAATAGCTGTTTTTGCCTTAATAAATAAAATCATAATTTTAAAAACTGTAGTTTGCATTTACTTGGGTTGCTTTTGTCTAATATTAAAGAAGAAGAAGAAAATGGATGGATGGATCTGAGACATTTAAGTTTGTAAAACATGCAAAAATAAAAAATAGAAATCACAGCACTGTAAATGCATGAAAGTACAAATTTATTTGCAGGACATGAAGGATTTGGTTCATACATAATCCTCTTCAACTTCTTTCTTTTCTGTTGTCTTAGTTGAATTCCAGGGATGTCAAACTCGTTTTACATTGTGGACGCACAAAGCCCACTTTGATTTTAAATGAGTCGCACCAGTGAAACTCCCTCCATCAATGCAAGGACGTTTAACTACAGATTTATCTCCAGAGATATCTTAAAATAAAGAAGTGCAATTTATACTTTATGTCTCAGTTTTTCTTTCTGATAAAGAAACTGAGCTGTATTAAAGAAAGAAATCAGTACGACTACTTGGGCTAAAATTGTAAGAAATGAATGTGTGAAATTACATTAATAGCATTATTTCTAGTAGCTCACTGCCCAGACTGTTCTGCAATTATAAAGCTGAAAGTTTTTAATTCACAGAAAATAGCTTTTTTCCCCCACTTGGAACACATTGCAAAAAAACAACAACATACATTTCCATGGTAGATATTAAAAAAAGAAAGGGTTTTCTTCTGTCATTTAATTGTTTATCTATTACTTAATTTCTTTGGTGTAGTGTGTGGTGAAAGATGGCCATGAGGGAGGAAAAGATGTAAAACCTACTAAAATAAAGTTAAATTCACAAGATTTATATTGTTCAGTGGGCCAGACTGATCTCTGTGCTGGGCCAGTTCTGGCCCCCGGGCCTTGTGTTTGACATCTCCGATTTAGCCCACATGCAAGACCCAAAGGTTTTGAAACCTTGACTAAGGTTTCTTGTGTATGCACACATAATCTTTGACCCATATGTCCCACAGGCTTTAAAACAAGGTAGCACAATTTATCGCACCTTTATTACCATCAGTCGGTTCCTTTAAAACACACTGTTCACAGTAGTAATCTGAATATGAAATGGATTGAGCTTGTGTATCTATACTTTGATTTCCTTCTATTTGTTTCCATTTACTGACTAACATCACGCTTATTTTATGATCTGCTTATGAGCACATGAATGCACACACACAGGAATGAGAGCACTCAGGCCTGGGGAACTTTCTCTGCATCCTTTTCCTCTCTGCTGGGTTTTACAACAATTATGGTCCTACAGGAAGGTGGGCAAGCTGACTATACATTCCTCAACAACTTCACACACAAAGACACACAAAGACACACAGATGCAACAGCAATTTGATCCGCACACACTCAGTACTGATGATGGTATTCTCACTGAGTGGGAAAATACTTTAAGCTGTTTCTAAGTGGTGCAAATAAGCCCTGAGAGGTCAGCTTCACCATGGTGCAGTGATGTCTCAGAGGAGCACCAGCAGCCCTGAGATCTTTAGAACAAATTGCAGGTTCATGTTCACAGGTCATTTGTTACCGTGCTGGCATTAAGAGAAATTTAAATCTGATTAAAGAATCACACGACTGTCAAGACCTTTGCTTTGCTACAACCCACTTTCTGAAAGCTTCTCCAACAGTTTTCCATATTTCTCCATTAGAGCAAACCAACAAAAGTGTGTGCGTCTTAAAAACAGGCTCTCCAGTGGCCTCGCTTTGTTTCTCACACCTCACCTATGGTATCCCATTACTGAACTGTATGAAGCCGTGTGCCACTGATGTCCCATCTCATTTGATATTTGATACCAGTATTACTGTTTCTCTAGTTAATCCCATTCCTTTGAAAGGATTAAGGCACTGTACACAAACAGCTTTTAAGATCTTCGCCTTTTTATTGTTTGAGATAAGACATAAAAACAGCCTCAAGGGTTACCTGTTAATCCACCTCTCAGATGTAAGATGGAAGTGTCTCATTTACTGCTTGTTTGATGGCTTCATGCTGTTCATTTTGTGTAATAGTAAAACAGGTTTTCCAGAGATTAAGCCGAGGCTGGTGACGGACGAAACTGACAAATGAAACGTCAGACACATTCCAAACCTCTTCATTCCTCCCTCTCTAAATCCCCATTCATTTACCTCCTGCATCCTTTGGACAAATACTCCTGACAGCTCATTCACTAAGCAGTTTGTTCAGAGAAATTAGATTCCTCCTCTTCTTTCACCGTGTCTTTCCCATCCTCTTAACTGCCAAAGTCCTCCCCTCTAATCCTTGTTGAGTTACGTTCCTGGAGCCGGAGGTTGCGGCCATCTGAGAGGAGAGGAGATGAGTTAGAGAAGAGGAAACTGTAAACTGACATTTTTGTGCCATATTCTGCTGCTACCTCGGAGCCAGCTGGTATTTCCCTCTGTTGTTATACGCTCGACCTCTGGGCTTCGGGGGGCGTCTTGTGTTCTGATTTCCTCGATCGTGGTCGTCAGGATAAAATGAGTGAAAATGACGACCTCCTTCGCTGTGTCCTCCTCTCGCCCACGGCCCTCTTCGAGCTTCTGTTTCTTCCTCTCGCTCCCTCCGTCCCCGTCCACGCCAATGGCCACCCGTCGTCTCCTCTCTTTTCCTCCAACACGTACCATCACTGGGAGCCCAACCTGAGGGTAAGACACAAATCTCCGTACACCGTGCTTCTGTAACATCCAAAAATGCAGCAAACAGGTTTTAGACACATTCAGTCCAGAGATTTGGACGTGCGAGTTATTAATTCATTAAATTGCTTCGAATGATTCTTGGTCACTGGAGGGCATTAACAAAACTCTTGCATTTTATCACCTTTTATGTTGTTTGAACGAATTTGAGAACAGTTACCGTTTACCTCATTTTATAATTCACAGACTGTATCCAAAAAATGGATGAGCCCACAGTGACATGATGTACTCTTTTGAAGCCATGAGGTGCACATTTCAGCTGCTGATGTCTAACTTTCTTATATGGTAGCAGGCTGGAAATCTGACTCCACCCTGGGTCACTCAGGCTAACCATATGTGTTTTGGGAGGCAATCACCATATCAGATTGTCTCTATATGATTAAAGCAATCACTTAAATGATGTGATTGGAAGTCTAGTGTAGAAAATAGTTTAGAAATCAGTAAGTTGTGTGTTTTTAGCAAATGAATAAGAGCTTAAAATAAGAGTGAAGAAAGGTCCAGAGTCTTTATGACTCCATGACTGTACAAAAGATGTACAAAAAATATTTTTTATTAGAATATTATATGAGCTACATTAGCATGATACTTCATTTTTAATAACATGGTTCTCTTTGATACTGGCAGATATAAAGCAACTCAACTGAGCCTGGAAAGTTATCCAGATTACAAGACAAGCCCAAGTTCCAGGTATCCTAAGGCTATCTGTGCCAAATTGGAAGCAGACCACAATTATCCTCACGCCACCGTCAAAGTGACGTCCAGTCTGCGCCTGCCACCTGACATTTATTTAAATTAGGATGACAATTTGGGCACCAGCTTAACTCACCTGGTGGAGCAGGTGAGCATGTACCGCAAGGCTGAAAGCAGCCAAAAGGTTTTGAGTCTGACTGCATGTCTTCCCCCTCTCCCAGTTTTCCTGTCTAATCTCCACTGTTCTATCACATAAAAGAGAAAGAAAAACTCTCAAATAAAACATATAAATAAATGGGACCACAAAAGAAACATCATGTTGTACTAAAAATACTTTAAAAGAGTTTATTGAGACCATAAACCCATGAGGAAAGTGTCATGAGGAGGAGGGCCATTTACTTGTAGACTTCTAAACAATTAGACTGAGAAGAGGAGCTCCTTGGGAACGGCTTCTTTTTTTTTCAGATCCAGAGACGACGATCTTTCATATACATTCTGTGTTTTAATAAGAGTTTATTTAGAGTCTGTGATAGGACTTTACTGAAACCAGTAAATGATAATAACTTTGACTAATAATGGAAATCAGCAGTCTTAAATGTAAATGTTAATCAGTTCAAACTGTATCAACATTCGTCTCGTCCTCTCTCAAACATACATAGATATCCATCTTGCCTTTCAAGTCTTCCCACAATTATGTGACAACAGCCCACAAAACAGCAAAAATTAACAATTTCAGACAGGACGCACGCAATCATCAAGTTTGCATTAACTGTGTCGACAGCCGAATTATGATAGGACAGAATACTTTCATCGCACTGAGAGTTTGCTTTCCTTACAAATAACAAAACATCCCCAGAGCAGCTTTTTATTGCTGCACGACTGATTATGAAATTGATCTGCTGGCAGGAACAGTTTCTCTGGGTGTGTTCAGCTGCCACTAAAATCTATTGTTGGATTTACAGAAGCCTGGGACTTGCCATACACTTAAGAAACTCTGACAGATGTGGAACGTTTTATGCCAATTACAAAGTGCTCAAAATAAAACATCAAGTCCAACTTTAGAGTTTACCAAACGGGAGCGGTGCATTTGGCTAAATCAGACCGCCATCTTCACATCCATCCAGTGCCTGAATGTGAAGGTGCAGAAAAAGAGTATGTAACACATGCCATGAGCACGAGAGTAATGTGTCAGTGAGGCCACAAGGACCACAATCTTTTTAAAGGTGTTGTATGTCTTGCAGAAAAAAGGAGGAGCTAAAGAAGGGAAACATTAGAGGTTAGGGTAAATATTTTATTGCAAATATGTGCAGCTCTGATAAGAATGCATGAAAATAAGGTTGTTTACAATTACATCTTGTCTTTTTGAACAGATATAAGCTGGAGAGACGTGGAAGAGGAGCTACACTGGATTCACTGGCGGAGTGTAATTGGGAGGGCAGGCGGGCTGAGGAGATATTTGCTGAGGAGACTAAACATCAGGCCTGATTCAAACAAAAACCAAACCCGGGTCCTCAACGATACCACATAGCGCCACCGCTACTCTCACGCACATGCATACTCTCTCTGCGGACACACACACACACACTCATTTCCCCACAGCTCTGTAGTAATGATCAGTGTCTGTGTCTGGCAGAAATGAAACACTGAGGTATAAAGAGTGTATAGCCTTCCATCTATAAAACCAGAAACATCCTCATGAGACCCACAAGGGTTGACTTGGGCAGAAAGCAGACAGTTCGGCGCAAACTGGAGGATCTGTGCCAACATGGCATTCAGCGCAACGGTCGCAAAAGGTTTATAAGTCACAGGGTTGAAGAGAAACTGCGGGTTCATATTTCATAAGCTCCCGCTAAGTCGGCTTTTGTGATGGGGTCTGCAAACTCCAGGCAAGAGGTGAAGTTGGCCTACAGCCTGCACACTGCAGTCAAGACCGTCATATAACGATGCATTAATGCTCCTTCATGACAAAACAGGAGGCGTGTGAAAAGGTTCAAGAAACAGCAAAGGGTTTTGAAGAGTCTGGAAGCTGGAAGAAAACTACCCCACTGATAGAAGTTAAGATGATGAATAGAAAAAGTAAAACAGAGGGGAACAACCGAGGGGAAGGGGAGCAGAAAGAGGGGAGAGACAGACGAGAGGAGTCTGTAATCAGTTGTTGTGAGTCTTAAAATAGAGCTCTCCCAGCCTATAAACAGAAACCCACTATTACTAGTGCACTGACAAAGCAAGTCTCGGATCCAAGCGTGTGTGTGTGTGCGCGTGCAAATGAGCACGGCGGTATGTGATGAGGCCGCAGCACACATGGAGCTCATTACAGCATGGCCCTCTGGGTAATGTGGTTCCATGAGGGCCCCAAAGAACTACAACCGCAGATCAACTGTCAGATTAAAATGATGCTTCTCTGTTCAGCTCCAGGAGGATTTTTTATTAGTTTTTCATGTGAGCTCGCAGACAGATTGCACCCATCGGATCACTAGGGGCCTCTTCAGCACTCGATACTTTTGGACAGTGATTAGCTTAAAATATAAAAACAACTGAAGCGTAAAAAATAATAGAGACATCGTGGCATCTCTTTTTGGGGCTTCTTTCTTTTCTTTTCTTTTTTGTTTTGTTTCCAGAGTAGACGCAGATACGGGAAACACATGAAAAGAAAATTGGTCTGATGTGCAACAAAGGTCCCCAGCATAGCACAGAGGACATTATGGTTAAATGGTATGCATCTGAACCACGAGGTTACCAGAGCACACCAGAAACACTATAATATTCAGTCAGAAGGGTTTTCTCTTTCTGATCCTCATTTAGGATGGTCTTTAGATCAAACATCTTTTTCCAAAGAGTCATGGATCAAATGGGAGCAAAATTATACAGCACGAAAACAACACACACAAAGTGAATGGTAAGGGCAAAAAAAGTCGACGACTTATTACAATAATTTATTTCCCCACATTTCTATCCCAGGACTGTCTACAGAAGCAACAGCCTTAAATTATTTTGTACTGTATCTCAGCGTAGCTTCTCAGCTCTCCCTGAAACCACTTTAGCGCTTCTACCTTTAACCTAACTCTCTTCTGACTGGCTGCCCCTCATTAACACAAGGTTTAAACAGCAGATGTAAAAGTGCTTTTGTGCTCACATCCAGAGATGAGATGATCATATTGAGGATATCTGCTCTCTTTTATAATGAGCTGTCAGGCCAGGGGCATTACTTATGCGTACGTTGACAGTAGAAGCCCATGTTTGATGCACAAACAAGGAAAGGCACAGTAAGCTCCATTTGTGTTAAAATCAACTTCTCTACACCAGCACATAGCACAACTCCACCCCTTTGGCCTGGTAGGCCTTAAACCTCCTAACCAAAAGACTGAGAACAAAGAACCTGTAAGTTAAGAAGACTGTTTAACATTAAATCTGATTGCCATGCAATGTAAATAGATATTTCCTGACTTAAATGTATAGTAGTTATACGAGAGCTCTGTATTAACTTTAAATAAATAGAAATCCTATGATGGTGGATGCATTAGTGACGTAAATTGACATTCTAATCTCTTCAGTCCTTTCAGTAGCATGATAGCACTGTGACTTGGTTTGGTCCTTAATTGTAATTCTTTTTGTTCTTATTTGAATGTGTTGAGAAAATCATGCATGCATTCATCTGTTAAATCTACTAAATCATCATTGTCATAATAAATATTTTGGAACCACTCGCGTTTAAATGTGCACACCACATCAGCTGTTCTGTGAGCCAGCGCTACCAACATCAGTGTACTTTCTACAGTTTGTATTCTGCTGTGATATAACAGCACAAAACAAGGCCAAGTGCGCGTTTCCGTTTGATTTTAACTCTTCAATTATCGCTTTCAGAGCAGACTAAGTGTTTGGGAAGCTGACAAATAAAGCTAAAGTGTTAAGAAATACTAATACCACAGACCAGCACAAAAAGAGACAAAGCAACTTAAACCATCATCATCATCTGAACATGCAGAACGCATATTCAGATAATTTTTTATGCTTCAGACAAATTATGCAACATGTTTACAGGGAAACGTTGTACCAAAAGGTCCTAAAGAAGAGAAAGAGTTGATGGAAACTTTAAGTGACGAGCCAGTATTCACATGTACAGAGATAATCAGATAAAAGCAGGTATCAAGTGTGTGTGTCTCACCCGAGTGTCTGTCTCTGTATCCGGTTTGTATTGTGGTTTTAGGACGTGACTGTGGTGCGTTGGGTCTGGACTGCAGGACTCTGCCTCTCTTGTTGCAAGTTTCTGTAAGTTTCTCCCTTAACTGGAGGAACAGAGACAGGCTGGACGACTGGGAGAAAGAGACAAACGTAAGATTACACACCCACAGATTAAGTTACTTATCACTACCAAAGACATTCGTTTGAATTAATAAACAGAAGCAAAACCAGACTAGCTGGAATAGCTTCTTTCTCCCTCTGAAGTCTTGACACATTCATAAATGCCCCATTTTTCTTGTCCCATCTCCACTCACATCGTGGTCCAGCAGCTCAGTTTTCTCTGTGCCGCTGTGTGCCAGCAGGTACTTTGAGTGGAACAGCCGTCCATCGAAGCTGTGCCAGGGCATTAGAGCAGCGCTGGGCAGCGGGCAGCCGCTGGCACAGTTAGCACCCAGCAGGTGGCTCAGCCCTCGGACGTACAGAGATCCCAACTGCACCGCACGACTCGAAAACAAAGGCAGCTGAAAACAAAAAAATCATTTGGTTGTATATTTAGACTGTGTAACTTCTTTACAGTAAAATCAAATATTTTGCTACAGGCCATTGTCAGTCACCTAATAGATACCGATGACACAAACACAACTCTTTACAATCCTGCCAGTGGGTTGAGTTTGAGCTTACCACATGTAGGAGAAGACTTTTTTTCAGCACAAAGAGAGACTTGTTTGATGTTGATTATTTCCCTTTTTAAATGCAAAAATCACCTGTCTAGTATTTAAGAGCTTTTAATCGCTCTTTGACTGTCAAATGCTGCTAACATCAATAGATAAATATAAACTGAGATCAACTGCAGCACTGATTGTCGCATTAGTGTCTTTTCTGAACTGCAGCAGATTTAAAAGTCCTGCTGCACAGAGCCATCTGTTCCTTCAATGTGTTTAGCGTCACTGTCCGCAACAAATTCCTGAACATTGTTGTCTCCCAACCCCAATTTGCACAAACATATCTGCTCTGCACTGACTCATAAATCAGAAAATTAAAATACTCCTCAGGCCACCCACTTCACTGTTACTTCACTTGGTTTCCTCGTGCTCACTGCCAGATGACAGTGAAGCATCTCTGTATATCTTCCTATTTGTTGGCTGCATGTGATGGTGAAACTTCTTTGCTTAGTTGGACTCAAATTGGCTTTTAAACTAAGACCATAATTACATTCTTTTCTGGATATAACTATGCTTGAGGACATTTTGAATGATGAGGATGAACAAAGTAAAATGAAAACAGGAGATATCTCAGAGTGAACCTGCTCTTATACTGCAGCAAACAAGAGTAAATCTCGCCATTTACTTTTCAAAAGTCTTCACCCTTCCCTCATTTCTTTATATTTAGCCAGAAAATTGGGAAATAGGTGCAGCCAGGTCTCCGGGCTTCATGAAGGACATTCAAAGCTCCTTTTTTGGATTTTGGCTGCCCTTTTCTGTCAGGATGAGCCCACACTGCATCAATAATGTTTAAACGCCGGGCATGCCCCAGCCTTTCTTTCCTGCTTCCCTTCCTTAAGAATTGCTTCTTGACAGCCACACTTCTACTGAGACCATTTGTGATGAAATCCGAGAAATATGATTCAGTTTATCTGGAAGTTGCATGCTCCACCAAGCATGCATCAATTCATTTCTGGTGATCCTTCAGTAGACACTAGATGGATCAGCTGATGGATCATACCTCTCAGGTATTTGCTAAATTTTTCTTAAAGGCATGACCTTCAGGTCATTTACGATACTGCAGCAATTTCTTTTGCATTCCACTTGTGTGGTTTCCTCAATTTTTTTGCACATCAGGCTCAGATATGCCAACTTTTCTGTTAGCAGCTCTTTGGGAATCAGCTTATTGATGATTTTTATCACTTTCAAACTGTTATGTGTTATTTTAAAAAAGAAAAAACCATAATAACTGGAATAAATTGTGTTTTTTATGACAGCCTGTTGGTATCAAAGTGGCTAAAGATACTATTAAAAATTGTTTTTTTGGTCAGTCTTCTGTGTGTAGACACATTGGTTCATCCTTTGAGTTGCACGACTTCTTATGCTTGAATCATTCGTAGGTCATTGAAAACAAAATAAAAGCCATTCCTCTGCAAACAGCCAGAGGGCTAGACAAAGGGAAACTTTGTAACACCACTTAATAAAAATTCTAGAAAGTCTGTCTCCTTGGAAGCAAAACATCAATAAATGATGCACTCAAGACTTTTGCACGGTGCTGTAAATGCCCTAATAAAGATAAGATTCTCCTGAGTAAATAATAAAAAAAATCAGGCAAATTTATAATATATCTTACAGCTGTTTTGTGTAACTGAGAGAACAAAAACAAACTGCGGGAGAAGAATAAAGAATAAGAGGAGGATGAAGAAGTGGAGCACAAGCTGATTGTAACAGCAGGCAGATGTTCTGTGTGTGTGTCTGCTCTCACCTGTCCCTCAGATAGCACTGATAACAGTGATTACGTGTACACAGACACACACATACACTCATCCCTGCCTGCCACCTGCTTCCAGTCAAACACAGCTTCACCTTCTGAAAACAATGAAATACTGGACAGACACACAAGCCTGAAGGCACACACAGACACAAAGACAGAAAAGAGATACAGAGCAACACGAGGGAGAGAGAAAGAGTGGTCGAGTGCAAAAAGGATAAGAACGTGAGAACACACACACACACAAAAGACAGAGAGACAAAGACAGAAATGTGTGTGTGCATGTGTGTGTCCAGTGGGGCGGAGTGTGCATGGTGTAAATAGCTCCATGTGGTGAGCGTCAGCCAGGACAGACAGGCGACTGTCGCCAGCTTACTCTCTGTCGCACACACAAACACACACGCCAAAATCACTGTCCCATGGGGAGGAATGTTGCAACACAACCAACGCATCCAAAAACCTATGACCCACAGCCCCTCTCTCCTACACACACACTGGGTGACACTTTTCCCACAAACAGACACTTCTCTCTCATAAATTAATCTTTTAATAAAGAAAATCTTTGTGATTTACTTCCTGCTGTGATGTGTGATGTATGTGAATCTGTGCAAACACACACACACACACAGATATGAACTTGCAAAAATGAATACCATACGCACATCAATAACAATTTGTCTGTTTGTGTTTATGTGCGTATTTAATCCGTACACTAGTCACTCAGTTAAAACCCCTCCTGCAGCTCTGAACCTCTCCCATACGACATATTCAAATCAACGCCCAGCCCTAATTATTGTGTAGAAAACAGATGAGCAGCACAAATACAAATTACTATACATAAGTATGGTAATTAAGCAGTAAAAATAAATGGGGCTACAAAGAGGCAGCAAACACAACGGTCGTTTTCCCAGAGAATGGAAATGCACAGCTGACTCTCAGATGCTCGCATCTGAGAGAATTCACAAGTCCCACGATGCCCCTTCACTGAAGACTGAAATTATAAAGTAGTAGTATCCACTGCTTTGTTAATACATGTCTGATGAGGACTTTGGTTCACTCTGTTTTTATACCAATCTGTTCTAAAAATGTATCGTTCTTAATCATCTCAGATTTAAAGCTAAACTATTTTGCTTTTCCTGTGCAATAAGCCATGTACTCATTGTTACAATGGTGAATATTTCTAATAAACAATAAGAAAACTCTTTAAACAATAAATTTGACAAGAAGAGTCAAGCAAAAATACCCTTGAACAGAGTGATTTGTCATTCTTGTGTCTGACTGTCTGTCATCTTGCATTAACATCAGCACAACAACTGTGCAGCAGGAGCTTCATGGCATGGGTTTCCAGCTGCATGCAAGCCTTACATCTCCAAGCACAATACCAAGCATAGGATGGAGTGGTGTACAGCACTCAGGTACTGAACTTTAGAGCAGTGGAAATGTGTTCTGTGGAGTGACAAATCACACGTTTTTATCTGGCATCTTCTTTTATCTGACAGACTAATCTGAGTTTGGTGAATGCCAGGAGAACATTACCTGTCTGACTGCACTGTGCCCAGTATAAAGTTTAATGGACGGTAGACAAGCAAGGTTCATGAAGACATGACTAGGCCACACAGAATCCTGTCCTCAAGCCCACTGAATACCTTTAGTAGAACAGATATTACGAGCAGGACCTCTCGTCCAACACCATTGTCTGACCTAATCAAATTTCTTCTGGTTGAATGGGGGAAAATTCCCACAGACACACTCCAAAATCTTGCAGAAACCCTTTCCAAAAGAGCGGAAGATGTAAGAGTTGCAAAATTGGATAAACTTCATGCTGGGATAAACTCCATACTGATGCCTATGGATTTAGAATAGGATACCATAAAGCTCCTGTAGGTGTAATGTGTAAGTGGCCCATTACTTTTATCCATATAGTGTATTTATAAAATTTCAATGGTGGATGCTGGACTTAAACATGCCTAAAGTTTCAAACGATGATGTGAGTGTGTGTACAAATAATCCCTGTGAGCTAAAACCTCACACTTCACACTGCTCTGAGTGCTTTGGCTCTGTATGATGTCAAAGAGAGGAGATATTCTTATATGTACTTCAGACACAGGGGTTGAACCCAGGCCTAATCCAAGACAGGCATGGATTATTTTGACTCTGGTGCTGGGGATACTAGTATTTGAAAACCAAGTTTTGATCTTAAGACAATCCTGTGTAAATGAGAATCAGGGAGAGGATTTTAAAAATGAAAGTGTTTCTGGTGTGACCTTTGTGGGTCAGGTTCATGCTACCTAACCACAATGTCCTCTGCGCTATGTTGTGGACCTCTTTTCCTGCGTTTCCTCCATCTACTCTGCAAGCCTTCCAATTAAAATGCAAAAAAATAAAGCTGCCCAAACTGAGTGGCTTTTATAGTTTCAAAACTAAACAATGAAAGTAAACTTTAAAAATCCTGGACAATTAAATTGTTAGCTAAGCAAGTATAAACATTTTATATAAATTTAATTGCACAGAAATGCAAAAAAGAATAAATATCCACCAGTGTATGTGCGCTTTTAAGACATTCCTGACGACCGGATTTTAAAAATAAGGTTCAAAATTTCTATTTCCAACAACAACAACACCCTGCAGTTTATCATAACTGCTTATTTTTTCAAGGTTGTTGTATGCTTTCTTGGAAAGACCGTCAATCAGCAGCTTATTTATGTTTTCTCTCCACTTTCTCTCCACTTTCTATTAATGGAAACATTTTCAGAGCTGTGTTTACCCCAAGAGGACTTTGTTTACTGTAAACGTCAGCGAACATTGTCTTCTTGCAGCGGGATACACAATGTTTGGCTTCACCATTAAAAAAACGTGGGGGTGAAAATCTGAAAACAACTATAAAATATCAAAAGCATCTTTTACAAATGATCTAAATGCGTTTGTGACAGACCTCGATCTGTTGAAGCTCCTGAGAGGATTTCAGTCTCAGACACACAGCTTGACTCAGGTAGGAATCCACGTCTTCTAGAGATAAAGTTTGTACCTGAAAACATGCACACAAACCAAACACACAAGGGAAAATACATGGTTAGTCAGTTCAATCACATCCCAGTGTGTCTTCTTTGTGGGTCAGTTTGTTTTGTCTGCTCGCTGTGCAACAAGTCAACACAAAAAGAAACAATGGCGGCTACAGAGACAAGGCTGCCCAGTTGTGTGTACAAAACAAACAAACCCTGAAGTTATTTAAATAGAAGAGCGAGAGGGGAATGTGAATGCTGCAGTGATCAGACAACAGCTACTATTGTCTGTCATGCTGTCTGCTCATCTTTAATCATCTGCTCGTCTAGCCTCCTTCTAACAAGCTACTGTCCTGTCTGTCAGGGCCTTCATTCATTTAAATCGCTGCGAGCCAGCCAGCGCCTGACTGAAAACCAGTCTGAAAGGCTGCCTGTCGATTTTAGTATCAAAGCATTCAGCTCTGTCTCTCCAGGTGGAGCAAACATGAGGAAACAGTTACTACTATCTAAATAAGACTAAATCTATGACCGAATTTTTGGTGTTTTTCAGTTGGCGTGTGTTAAATGTATTAGAAAAAAAAAAAGAAAGCAGTACTCGAAGCATACTTTTAAGACAACAAATAACATGTTACACAAAAACAAGACATCTGAAAACAAGACATCTGAGCTTTTCTTTGAAAATGTATCTTTGTTAGAAACGCATTAATAAGTGATTCAAGTGTCTCTGAAAAAGAGTTAATAAAAGGTATAATTTATGTTTCCCTTCAATAACATGACGCACACACGGTTATCCTGTCACGCGATCCAATGTTGTGTTAAAGCTCAGTCAGAAGACGTCAATGCAAAATACCCAAACCAAAAGCACAAATCTTGGCTTCTTTCACATACGAATTAGTGATCACAGGGCATTACAACAGGATCAAAAGCAGCTCAGATTGATACACTCTTAGATTTACAATCAAAATACAGTAATACGAGTTCTGAGGTGGTTTGAGAATTGTCTCCTGAGTTATTCAAAGCCCTTGGATGGTTATCAGGACTTGTTGACGTAAGAGCTGAAGTTACAAAGGCCGGTGTCTGTGTCTAAACTGGGCCCCCAGTGGATGATAATGGTTACCGTCAAGCCATCAACAAGCGATGTTTGACTTTACATCACACGGTGTCAAAAGAGCAGAATAATTGTTGTGTACGTGTTATAGATGTAAATCCCAAATCAAAAGCTGACTCGTACGTTAAACTGTCATCAAACATATTTGGTCTTTCATTTCTTTGTTTACATGAACCGCCAGCTGTAGGTATCATCCCCTTTCATCTAACAGCTTAACCGGAGCCCAAGCCAAACATGTGCCCTGACCAATAACAACCAAAAGAGGAAAGACCAATCATGCTGCAGATGCAATCATTTGTAAAGTACAGCTGTTAATATTATTTTTATGTTTTTTGGGGCAGAATCGATCAATATGACACCAGAGAAGACTGTAAAACATGTGTGACAAACAAAAAGCACCTCGATTTTTTCCTATGTACAAATAAAAATAAGTTACATTTGCTATTGATTCATTAATAATTAAATCACATCCTTTCCCCAGACAATCATACAAATATTTCTGATTTTTTTTCTCTTTAAATAACTTTAATTAACTTAATTAACTATTTTCATTCTCTGATCACCAGATAAACGCATCTACACTACCTGTAGGACTAAATATGTGACCAGGCAGAGAGCAGCCAGGAGAAAGTCTTCAATAACTCCATGCAGCTCCGAAAACTCAGGACAGCCAAAAATTGTAAGGAAGGCTGTCAGGCGAAGAGCAGCCACGTCAGGACCCGTGCTAAGCCATAACAAGTCCAGACTGGGTTGATCACCTACAGATTCGAGCAAAAGAGAAAAATACTATGGATTTTAGATGGAAAAATATGGCACAATATCTCTTTCATGTGTTAAACGTAACCAGAGCCAGCTTTTCAACGTGAGTCTTAAAGCCGCTGGTGCCTCAAGGCTAGTCTACAATGACTTTAATTACAGAGAAAACATAATTCCCAGGAAACAATCACTTATAACCACAGGACTCATTTGGTTGCTGCTTATTTGGGAGCAATTTAGTCCTATAGTGCATAAACCAAGAATCATGGACATAGTCGTCGTTTTATCATCTCAGGGATTAAAAAAAAATAGCAAATAAAATCTTGTATTGGTGGTGTAACTGGACTGAAATCGTGTTTTATTTTGTGTCCAAAGATACAGAGATAAGTATATGAAAAACAGCAGGTACAGTACATGGCAGGCTGACTGGGAGAGGGTGGACTATATCAGGTTCCTTCAAAGGGTTTCCGGGGAAGACAAACCATTCCCTGATTGCTGGAGGGTCCTCAATCCTTCCTGAAAAAGCACAACATTGTCAGGGTTATGCTTGGATTAGATTTACTCGATTTTCTGCAAAGAACATCATCATTCTCCTCACTTTACATAAAAACTAACGGCACAAACTTCGCTGACGTGTGTGTGTCTGCACGGTTCGTAATCCCTTTGCCTCTCCACTGAAGATATATTTTTGATGTTGCCAGAATCTACATGCGTCTACCACAGACTATATATGAAGACAGACAAAGCCACTGTGAAATCACTCAGACCCAGATGTCTGCTGATTAATGTTAAATGAGACCTCAACAATACAGACTTAAAAACCAATCGGTAACCCCCTGGTAACTGGTTGCTAAGGAAAAGTATATATCCTGACTGGCAGGTGAAATCCGTTACAAAAAGGGTGCTGCACCAAAAACCTCCTTTTGACTGCTTTAGTCACTAGCAGATTGCTGCACTTGCCCACAGTTTGCATGGAAGACGTCAACAGTGGTGGATGCTGAAATTGCCGACTGTAAATGCTTGCAAACTAACCACGAAACAAAGGCAGTTTGTCTTCAAAATAAAAGTTGGGCCTCTGTATTACTGAGCAGACCATATTTATCAGATAATTACATTTAATTGATCAAAAAAAAAGACCAAAGGCACAAATATGAATGGAAAGTTCCAGCTTGGTGAGTTGGGAAAATAAGACCTGATAGACACTGGCTATCAACATGCCTCTTAGCCAAAGTGAGTATCCCTGTAACCTTTTAAGCAAAATCCAAATGATTATAATAAATAAATAACTCATTGCATAGTTCTAATAGGATAATAATATGTTGTTTTTTCTGGGTATTTTAACACTGGAGTCTATGGGGATTAAATTGCTGTTGGAGTCAGAGTCAAGTCACCAGTAGAAAAACTGTAGTTTTTGGCATTTCTTGTTGACTTTTTTCATTCGTGTATGCTTCTGTTCTCATTGTCTTATGTATTAACTGTTTTACCATTGTGACCAAGCAGAAGGAGGAGACCATAGATGAGTTGTCTGCAGGGCTTGTAGACGAGGGCCTGAGGCACTAACTCGGTGTCCTCCTCATCCTCCAGAGTGTTGCTACACTCAGTGACACCCACACACAAGACAGTGTAAACCATGAAACCCTCTGCTGCTACATGCTTCTCTCTACATGCCTGTGGAAAACCACACAGTAAAGAAACATTTATTCCAGTCTGCAGGGAGTTCTAAAGAACAAAATCACATATATGACTATAACATACCTTTAGGATTTCTGGGCTAACATATTTTTCAAAAGCAGAAGGAAGTGAGGAGATTTCACAGAGCTCGGGACGTTTCTGTCCAGGTAGTGTGTATAAGCAAACGCCTTTCTTCAGTAGCTCTCTACGAGGAGTCGAGAGATTCAGAGACTGTGGGACCAGTTCAGCTTCCTCGTCCTCTGTACTCCACAGAGAGCTCACAAGCTGGGACACTGCTAGCACCACCTGCCCCTGCGGAGCACCATAATGTGGTGCAGGACTGTTTTTTCTGGGAACAATAAAATGAAGAATTTTAACTATGTTGGCTCATTGACAAACGCAAACAAGATGAGTATTTTTCTTTGCAGACAAAAATAAAGAGTAATGGGTTGGTACCGCATGTTGATATGTGTATAATAAAGAAGGATTTGGGCTTATTGAGGTAACTTCAGGTTTAACGTCACGTTTCTAGGGTTACCAAGGTGGCTCACCATGGTAACTTAATGCAGCAGACCTAACCTGCTTTGAAGCATGTTAAGCTGACAGTAAAGGATCAACAGATATGAAATACTGAACAACCAGTTCTGTTGAAAATAGCATCACCACTCACGGTCTTCCCACATGTTATTCCTTTTTTTATTTCACAGCTGGCTGGATGAAATTTTAGATCAATTTTGGACAACTGTTCATAACTGTGTGCCGAAAATCAAATATGAATGTAAAGTAAGTCTATGCATGCATTCTTTTTTCATATTTGCTCTTCTACTTGCATCATCCAACCGAAACCTGCCAGAGTTGCTGAGCCATGTGTTAATGATAGTGCTGTGATACTGATAAGTGCATTCATTCACACAGACTGCATTTTTCCGGCTTTCCTTCCTGGCCTCGAACAGACCAGACTTTATTAACAGTAACTCTTCCAGTTTCCCTGACCATAGTACATAAAGCCCACATACATTTTTAGAGCACTTTTTTTTTTTAACTGAAGCTCTGTTGCTCTTAATATTTTTATCAAATTATATTTTTATCCTTTGTACAATCAGTCACTCAGCTCCCTCTGGGCTTATACATTAGAGGGGAGCTAAGTCCATCCCTTTCACGTGAACATGCTCAAAGATAAGTTAGGAAACCTTGGGATTACCACTTTCATGTGTCACTTTAGCCTGATTGCTGATGTTAGGGTAAGTGAAGCAAGATAAGGAAAAGATAACCTGAGTGGGCTGAACTTGCATTTAAGTGCAGGGCTGAGGTGTTGGAAAAACAAACTTGAACATGCTTATGATCTCAAAGTCCACAGGTTTCACACTTACTATTATTTTTAATAAGTGTGTATTTTTAAAACAGACACTGAAAAACAATCTGTCAAAGACAAGCTTAGAGAATGAAGTCATGGAATTCTTTAACATAAAAAGGGTATATTATGTAACTAAATGTAGCCAGCAACAAATATAGCTTTGATTTAGTAGTAAATAAGACTGAAAAATCCAATGTTCTATTAATTCTATTCAATACGGATGCAGATATGCACCTGTAAGCTGCCATCGCATTGTTCCTGACATCACGCATCTTCTCCTCTGACACCACATCATTACCCAGGAGACAGGCCAGCAGTGGTAGCTGGGTAACAGCCAGTCCAATGGTTTGGCAGAGCCTCTGTCGGTCGTACATGACAGTGGTGAGGCTGTTTATCCGCAGCTTTGCCACAGACAAATAAGGGGCACTTTAGAGATAAGGGTTAAAACAAAATGTTCCAATCAGACAGTTTGACCACATTTGTCAGTAAAATTAAGTTAATCTGCAATTATGAGATTGATTTTACAAACCTGTCATATATGATGAAGTCTGAATCCTCTCCCAGAATACCCATGCAGCCATGTTGGCGAGCATAGCTGGCAATCTCATAGTCTGCTTCCCGCACTGAGCAAAACACTTCCTGACCTAATGACCTGTAAAACAAAACAAAACAAATGTATAAGAACTAGAATTACTGGCTTTATAATTATGGTGCATATATTCTGTCCTGTCTTGCAAACAGACCGGAGAGCAAAGGGTGTGAATGTCGCCAATCCTGAGGGCAGACAAAAAAGCTCTCTACCCGGCTGATCTCCATGCTCTTTTATGTGACAAAATATCTTTGAAATCTCCCCGTTCACTCTGCGTCTCCTCTTCACCTGTAGACCAGAACCAAGGTTTTTTGTAGTCACGCAAAAATAAGAGAGCAATATAAAAAAAAATTATGATGTTTTTGAAGCAAATTTTGTGACTTAGCTACCCCTTGTACCACTGACAATTTGAGGTATGTAGAAACCTGCCAAGGTGTTATTTATTAAGGTTATTTTCTCACCCACTCTTGCCTCTTCTGCTCCTCCACTACTCCATCAAAGAAAAAGACCAGTCGGATGCCTGCAGACGTAAATGCCTCAACCCATCTCTTTAGGATATCCAAGTACTCCCTCCACTGGCCCCCACATGCCCAGTCCTTGCATGAATACCAGTGGCGCAAGCAAGCCATACCATCCACAACAAGTGTGGGGTCTGCAAGTAAGTGAAATCAAAATGTAACATACAGCAGACCTGCATGATAACCCAGACAATGATCACCATACACATAGTAGTACAGTAAACCAATATGGGAAAATAAAGTAGAAGCATATAAAAGTCATAATATATTTTCAAAGGAACATGAACATGTCCTGTTCTGTAAGTTTTAGAGATGCCATTAAAAGCACGGTTTTAGCTTCCACCAACTACACTGTACTGTGTTACAATCCACCGAATAAACATGCTTAAAGGCATAGCATATACTAAGTATGGGTTTAAAGAAAAGTGCTACCTTTTAAACTCCTAGCATTGCATGGCCTTTGTTTAGGTCTGTTGTTATGACTAGTAAGCAAAGGTGTACATATGACTACCACCAGAAAACAGCTAAAAATATCACAACTAATACTATACTATTAAAATTACTGTTAGGAAAACATGTACTTCAAATTAAGCTAAATATTTTTTCTGTCAGTAGGCCATAATTTTTACTACACATTTTCAAATACATCTGTAAGTACAAGCATGATAATAACTATTGTTACTACCATGTCACGCCCTGAAATAAAGACTGAACAGGTGTAAACAGTATTTACTTGTGCATTGCTGAAGCAGTACTTTCATTAAACTGCACGCACCTGACCACCACCTATGTTGTTGAAGTGTTCTCTCTGTCTCGTTTACAAGCCACAGATTTTTGTTAGTTTTTTAAATAGATGTTTTATTTTGCTTTTTTTAAACATTAAGAACATTAAAAACTGATGATTAGGCAAAGGCCAGAAGAAACTATTTCCTTCAGCCAAAAGCTAAAAGAAAATCTCTCTATATATAATCATAGGAGCATTTCCAAGCCAGCAATGTTGGAGCAAGTTGGCTTATTTTAATAATTAAAGTTATTATGACTTTTTTCCTCAATCACTATCTTGTGGGTGTTTCAGTCCTTAGTTTTTAGTTACGGTTTTCCTTGCAGCTGCCATTGGCTTTGATCATTTGGATAAACATCTCCTTTAAATTGACTCAAATATAAGAGCACACACAATGGTGGAATTATATAACAGAAGACCAAAGGATCTTCCAAGAATGGTTGCACTATTTTGCAGGGAACTGACTTTTATACCCCTCGATCTCTATTCTGGGACTTGCTCCAGAGCAAGTTAGGTTTGCAGTATAAGTTACCATGGTGATCTACCTATGTAAGAAGTGATTCCCCTTTGTAGTACTAGTACTGCTTCGCAGTATGGGAGTTTGGTCATCCACGGCCCACTTGTGTTTTTAACAATCTTGGATTTCCTGGTGTCTTCCTGGATTTGTTAAGTCTCCATCTCTGAGTTAGGGTGATTATGGCTTATTATAGGCTCATTATTATTATGTTATTCCAGTTTTGGGTTGGTTTGTTTTTGGTTGTCTCTTGTCCAATGTGTCTTGTATTTGGTTTTACTTTCGCTGTCTCACTGATACGTTTAACCTGTTTCTTGTTACCCACCTATTTCCAATCTCCTTGTTATCCCACAGTTTGTTCTGTCTGTATTTATACCCCTTGTATTTCAGTTAAACTATGTTGTGTACTACTGCTGTTTTTGTGTGCGTTTCGCTGGTCCCTTGTCATTTTTAATTTGGTTGCCTGGATGTCAGGACTCTGTTTTTCCTCTGTTTTTGGACTTTATCAGCCATAATAAAGGGTTAGTTTTTTTCTTTTCAAGTCTGTCTCTGAAGTCTGTGTTTGGATCTTCCACCTTTGCTCTACTCCAAAAAAACATAACACCCTTAAATAGAGAACCACTGCTTTAACAGGTTAATAAAGCCAAATATTGTACACACATCTGAAAAGCTGAGAGCTGAAAAGCTGTTTCCTCACATTACTTTACATAATCATGCACACCAGTGGAGAAAGCTGGAGCTTCTGGGGGGTCTACTAATATTACCATTTCATGAATGACACAGAGCCACCGTCACACTGGCTGCACACAGAAATAAACTCAACTGCTGGTGTGAGGTGCGGTTGCGGAGGCCTGCTGCTGTCTGGCCATCTCTCTCAGGTTCACTGTCACACAGGCTTCTGGACAGCAGCGGTCCATGAAGTACTGTAGACCCTTCACGCCCATTCCTATTGAGCAGAAACACACAGGGAGCTACGGGAGGATGCATATCACGTCTTTCCAAATAGCGTGTACTTTAACTTTTAATTGGGTGGATCTGTTTTGGTGTAACACCGTCACTGTGGGGAGTTGATTTTAATGAGTACTGACACGAATGCTAACTGTTAGCTTCGCTTTTAGCCCCGTTTCGTGCCGTTGCCAGCAAACTCGTATCACGGATGATACGTCACAGCAAATGCTACTACAACTACTCTAGTATCGCTTCACATGGCAAAAAAAGAAAAAAAAAACTCACTTTGAAATGTCGCTGGACACTGAGCAGCATTGGTCCCTGTTGTGTTTACTTGGTGTAAATTCAAACTACTTCCTATAATCTACGCGTGGCGTCATCACGTTACAAAACAACACGCACGTGCTCGGCGCATGGAGACCACCGCGCATTCATTAAAACAAAGAGCGTGCAGAGACAAAAAAAATAAAAACGTGGCACGGCGCTTCTTACTAGCGAACATCCTGAATGTCATGAATGAGAATGAGCCTTTGTGTTTGTGTGGGCTCGTAAGACTTCACTCCAGCACAGGATCAGAGGAGGGCTAATTGCTCTCCTGGAGAGTGGGCAGTCTTTTGCTGAAAGCCATTAGGTCTACCTTCTCCACACAAAGCGCCCCCGGTACCTTCCACTCCATTGTGTGACCAGAGCAGGAATAAAAGGAGGGGACATATGCTGGCCGTCAGTGCAGCTGTCAGCATCTGTCGCTCTACAGCCAGATGCTCTGTGGACTGAGAGGACAATAATCTACGCTTTCCAGAAAAAAAACCCCAAAACCTAATCTTCAAGGAGGGAGGAGCTGTGTTGTAAATCTGCCCACTTTCATTTCCAATCACCCACTCGAGAGTTATGACCTTTGGGCTTGTGAAGGCATTTTTATGTCACCCAGAACTTGGCCTACAGGCTCTGGGCACCTTTTCCAAATGCACCTGGAGCTAAAATGACGGCAGCATATCCCTTTTTATTTATTCATTTGTTTTTTCATTTTTTGTTTTAAGTCTGTAGCTTTTTGCTGCAGATTATTGTTCAGAATTCCTGAGCTTTTTATATTTTAAGTGTTTCAACAGATTAAAGGACAAGTCGATAATATAAGATATATTTTTAGACTGAATTACACGAAAATGTCTCAGTGCTTCAGACAGCAACCAACATTTATTTTCATTACAGTTAATTTATATACATTAGTTGACCAAAAACAAAAAGTGGTGTTCCCTGACTGGGATACCAAAACCCAAAATGTAAGATGTTTACTTTCATAGAAGAGCACAAAAATGATCAAATGTTTACGTGTGAGAACCTGTAACACACAGTTTCTGTGTTCTGATATGTCTTTGTACTGTTTTTCTACAATCTTTGAAAGTTTTATAAGGGCAACATCTGCTAACTGTGGGTTTGAAGAAATGTGCTACCTTTTAAACTCTCAGCATTGCAAGGGTTTAGTTTAGGTCTATGTTTATGACCTGTAACTCAAGGTGTCGATATGAGTGCCTCCAGACAAACATCACAGATAATAATACTACATTACTGACACTGTCAGCTACATCATTGACACAAAATTAAGCTAAATATCACAATAGTCCAATCAGCCTGTAATTTTCACATTCATTTTACAAATCAATGTATAAATTAGAGCATTATGCAATTTAACTTTATTGTTATTATTGTGACATAACCTGAAATAAGCCATGAGGCCAGGTGTAAACAATATTAACTTGTGCAGCGGTGAAACAGAGACTGCGCTGAAGCAACACATTCACCCTCCTACTCACTCTTTCAGGCTTTAGCTATCTCTTTCTCACACTTGCTGTTTCTAATGGTCAGTGTAACCATAAAAATCATTATAAGAAAACTTGACGTATTATCAAATCTGGCTCATGCTAATATCATCCAGTTACTGTGGCTCATTCTGACAGTGAATGAATGAGTCTGTGAGCAGCATTGAGTGGACCATTTCTACTTTTCCATAATTTCTCTCACATATATACTGTTACTGTTACTGTTGTGAACTGAGCGGGCAATAATAAACCCAGTAGTAGTACCTAAACATGATAGCAAAATTAGATAGGTAGATAAAAACACAGTAACCAGTCCAGTCCCCATTTTAGCACTCAGTGTTTTTGACCTGTGCCTCTTTGATTATTTCAGCTTCCTCATTCTTCTGCGCTGACTCTCCCTTCTCTGCTTCCATGTCTTTCCCCTTGAGTTGCTCCCCCCTTTTTGTCTCCCCCTCTCCCCTCCTCTCCTGACCACAGCTTGACTCAGGAGAAACAGAGGCAGATGTTCCAGGAGCACACAACTGCGCCCCCACCCTTACACCTCCCATTTGTACTGGATAAGCAGTTAACCCCCGGAAAGAATTGACCATACAAGCACGCACACACTCGTACAAAGAACACCGCTGGCAAAATCTATACAGGCTCAACAGTTGTCCAACTGAATGAACAACACACACACTCATACACAGTGCTGTCCAGATCCCCTCAGGGTCTCTGATAGTCACCACTCTAAGGTCACGCCTGATGTCAGTGTTCAGGGCTCATGGTCTCTGTGGGCAGCTGGCCTGGCTAATCCTGCTGCTGCTGGAGGGTGCTTCTCAAACTAAAGGCAAACCCCTCCTCTGAGGGAGTTTTTTTTTTTTTGGTGGGAGGTGTTCACTTTGTTCAAAGTGCAAGCAGGGGTTGTTTGTTTGTTTGGTTGGTTGCTCTTTATAAATCAAACATTACATCAAACATATCAAACAGCAAATAGCAGGATCTTGTAGGCTTTGTCCCATTTCTGCACAGTCTTCAGGAGTAGATTTATTTGTAACTCACATTTTGTGGTCACCCATAAGATTGTAAACATTTTTATTGTAAAATGAAAATGTTTTTGTGTTACTGAAATGTTTTTATAAGATTCCCTAAAATTATGAGAATGTCTTCAAATGTCTTGTTTAAAGCAACCAACAATCCAATTATTGCAATAATAATAGTAATAATAATAATTTGGAGTGAATAGAGCTTCACATATCTACATAGCGGCACATGTTCTGACACACAGACACACTCACACACACTGGTATTTTTTCTTTACTTTCACATTTCTGTCAGTGCTTTGTCACCACACTTTGTCCCATTGTATGATAACCATTATGTTACAAAATATAAGATAAAAAATAAAACGTTTTCCAAGTAATCTTTGGAAATGTGTGAAACTGGTAACAATTGCTTTATTTTCTGTTTACTAATTCGTTTACTTTTCCTGTTACTTAAACACAAGTACTGGAGCAGGCAGTATTTTTATGTGATGTATATTCTATAGAAGGGCACATTTTGACGTTTGAACCAGTTCAAATGATAAATGTATATGTAGATTACATAGAGTGTCGCAATGAGGCTGACAGATGGTGTAAGTCGGTATATTCCTGGCCCAGGTGAGGTGAGCCTCCTGATCACAATGCTGCTGTTAATGAGATAATCTATCTATCTCTCCTACAGCAGTCCCAGCATGTGTGCGTTAATGTTTACGGTCGGTGTGATGGTGATGATGTGGAGGTTCCCACGACGGCCATCCATCCATCCATTTCTTGGCACACACACACGCACACACACACGCACAAGCCATATGGCCACCTCATACCCGTTGCATGCCTCCACTGTGATTTGGCCGGGAGCATCCAGTAGGCCTTGATCCACCTACGGAGGCCACCTACTCTCACCCAAGAGGGATGAGAGAAATGAAGGAGTGAGAGGTGGAATGGTGGCGGAGAGATGGAGTAGATGAGTGAACGTAAACGGAGAAATTAAGAGACTACGCAGAGACAGAGATGAAGGAAGCCATTTGGTACTTGGTTGGTGTTGTGGTGTTTGGTGAGCAGATGGCCGGGCTCGAGGAGGGGCGTGCCTTGTCCTCGCGACCCTTCACAAATCACACGGTTCTCCCCCGAGGGGCTCGCGACTCGCCGTTCAATAGGAATCAATGGGAATTACTTCGCAAGAGAAAGGGATGAATGGGCGGCGGGGCGCGAGACCTCTTCCTTTGTTGTTCCACTATGTGTCACAGAGCTCCTGCTCACGCGCGCGCACACAAACACACACACATACACGCACACACATAGACAACAGGAAAGCACTTCAGTTAAACAATCGACCTCCAGTTAAACTATTTTTTAACCCCACACGTACACGCGTGCACGCACGGTCACGCACACACAAAGGGGGATCAGAAGAGGGAGGAGTTTCTACTTTCTGCTGTTTCCTTAAGACACAATTAGAGAAGCTCTCGGCATAAATTACGTTTTAGGGTAAAATGTTGTCTTGATGCTGGTGAACGATGGAGGGGGGTCACTTTCCATGTAACCATGCCTTTCAGTCACGCTTTGCTGGCGTAATCGGAAAATGTGTGCCATGTCATGGTGATGAATGACTGATGGTATATTGGCCTGATACACAGAGGGAAAGAGAGCACCAGGGACCTCTGAAAGTCGGGATGAGTGTAAATAAAAGGCCTAGAGAAGGGGGGATTTTACGCCACGCCACATAGACGCATCACAGGCTATTAAAGGGGGTTGAAATCAACTGGCTAAATGAAATGAGCAGCTCTGAGCAGCGTCCTACAGCTAAACACACATACGGGTATGTGGAAAGACGGTGGCAGGCAGGGATAATAGCGTTAAAGCTTAAGGTTAAAGGCTTTTCAATCATTTTCAAGGGGTGTAAAGAGCACATCACGCAACCACATCAGACATGTATACACTGACCCGGAGGGGAGAACCAAGCAGGGTCATCAAACTTGTGCATGGTGGCACTGCGGCGCTCCCGCAGCAGCCCGTCAGCGCCGTGTGCGCCTGACATGACAGGCCGAAAGTTGTGCATATGTTATCTGTGGAGTGTGAATGAAGGCCTTGTTTGTGTACCGCGGCAAACCAAAGCAGTAATGATATGCAGACGGAGTAGCTTCCATTAGAGTTTTTAATTAAGCCCCCCCCCCTAGAAAAATCTCCCAGTGCGCGCGCCCTTGTGAGTGCGCGCTACTGTCTGTAAACATTAGAAGAGGACTCAGTGCTTCAGTGAGTCTGACTGCTGCTCAAACCGCATTTAAAGGTTTTCATTTGTTTTGAAAATGTGGTGTTACATAAAACGGGCGGAACCTAAAGTGAATGAACTGAAATGTCCGAAAATAAATAGATAAGTATAAGTCGGTATTCAGTCTGCCAAACATATCTCTCATATGTAACACCATGTACGGTACAGTAGAAGCTGCAATCAGGTTTTAGCCAAATGATTTTTATATAAACTTCTTTTATCTAAGTAAAAAGTATCAATGACATTAAAATGTCTTTGTCAACAGACTTCTGGC